CCTAGGTGCCTAACTCAGGCTCAGTGAATTGCAATATTCTTCCTGTGATTTTCTAGGTTCCTAAGTTAGGTGATGTGATGCTGAGAGTCATGGTGCCCAAGTGCCCTTGTGAATCTAAGCCCCTGTCCACATCAGCAGCCAAAGGACAGTTCTTGGACGGGAGGGGAGCTGTTTGTGACCCAGCCCCATTCCTACCATAGACCCAGCCTTATGGTGCAGCGCCACTGACCAGCCCCCCCTGTGTTGTTGGGTGTGCATTCGCAGCTCTAGTAATGGGCTTTCGTTCTCCCAGGATGAGCGGGGACTCCCAGTGAAACCACAAAATCTTCTGCATTTCTGAGAAAAATATGATTTTGCCTCTACACATGCACACACCCCATGTCTGCTGCTGGGGTCACTGAACGGCAACATGCAGCAAATTGCTTCCATTCGCAAATGCTCATGCTTACAGGACATGCTTATTCCCAATTTGTTTTTATACATGTCTAGCAAAGGGAGAGGAAGCTGTTGGGGTTGGCACTGGCTGTTAACAGTGTGGAGTGTTGAACAATAGGATAATCATGGAAGTTTGTTAATTAATTGTGTCTGTTGCATCGCCCACCTGCAGGAAATCAGGCTTTTTGCTGCTTCACGTGCTGCATGCTGGGAGAGCGCCAGATAACATGGTGACCCGCAGGATGCAGCCTGCCTGATGCAGAACGTCTGATCTGACCTCTCATCCATGACAAGGTAAGCAGTAAGGGCCAGAGTTACAAAGGTGTTTAGGCACCTAAAAATACAGATAGGCGCCTTGTAGGATTGTCAAGAGCACCTGAGCAGGCACCTAACTTACATTGATTTCCAAATAAATCTCTTTAAAAATCTGGCCCTAATGCTGTAGCACTAATAATAATGGACTGAACAAATGATTTTCCTTTCAGTAAATTCTCCATGAGCAACTTATGATTTCCTCCCATTTAATCACTGACTAGATCTGGGTGCGTAGATGCTTCTATCTACTCCCTGGCCTTCACCAGGACAGTTCCTGAGCTCCTCACAATCACTGCTGTATTTCTCCCCACAATACCCTGTAAGATATGGCAGAGCTGGTATAAAGCCCCTGGTACAGATGAGCATGGAGGCAAAGGATAGATTACATGGCTTGCCACAGCTCTCACAGGGAGCTTGCGGCTGAGCCAGGGATAGATCCAGGTGTAACACTTTCCAGTGTGCCAAAATGACTTAAGTGTCTGTGACGTTGCACTCCATATGTTTTATGGGAATATGCTTAAGAGTGTGAATATGATGTAAATGGAGTATGCTTTATGTGAAAGGTCTCTTGTAAGGTATCATAACGAAGGTTATAACCTACTGAATATATTCCTCCTATTTGTATGCATGTATCATTCTTGTATCTGAAGCTAGAAATATGAAGTATAACTCTGAGATCCTACTGTAATTGTGCAAAGGGTGGGCCATTAACAGTGGTTTAGAATCCTGATGGCTACCATTGAATAGGACAATCAGTTGTAAATGGCCTTAGTTACTTGAGAGCCTTCCTGTGAAGGTGTGGGCCAGCCCATGGGGAATGGAGACTAGGGGTCTTACAGTGACATGTGAACATGTCACCTGATAATGAAATCCATCTTAAATCTGGTACTTTTCTATTTAGAAGGAGGGGTGGGGACCCAGAGATAAAAAAGATTCCCGCCTTGTGCCAAAGCTATAAAAGGGGGTGGAGCAGGAAAATAGCGACTGCTCGTCATTAGAAAATCCCTGCTTACCACCTAAGATGTCTGCTGGAACTAACAAGGACTGTACCAGGGGAAAAGATTGGGCCCAGACTAGGAAGAACTCTAGTCTGTGAAAGAAGCTTATTGGAACATCTCTGAGGGTGAGATATTATCTGTAATCAGTTTCTTAATTTATTAGGCTTAGACTTGCATGTTTTTGCTTTATTTTGCTTGGTGACTTACTTTTTTCTGTCTGTTATTACTTGAAACCACTTAAATCCTACTTTTTACACTTAATACAGTCACTTTTGTTTATTAATATACCCAGAATAAATGATTAATACCCGGGGAAGCAAACAGCTGTGCATATCTCTCTATCAGTGTTATAGAGGGTGGACAATTTATGAATTTACCCTATATAAGCTTTATACAGAGTAAAAGGATTTATTTGGGGTTCAGGTTCCCAGAAAGGCTGAAAACTGGGTGCTGGGAAAGTCCCTGTTAACTGAGAAGCCCCTGGACTGAGTGCATCTCAGTTTCAGGGAACTGCAGAGAGGCGTGGGTCTGTGCTGGAGCTGACTGGAGTGTCTAACTCAGCAAAATAGGAGTGGAGGGGCAGCTGTTTTGGCAGGAGGGTTGTTCCCAGCTCATCAAGTGACGGTCTTGAGGGAAGTCTCTGTGACCGAACCCGTCACAGTGCCTATGTCCCATTTTCAAAAGTGAAAGTCAGTGGGACTAAGGCTTCCAAGTCACTCAGGCCATGTCCACACTAAAATTATGTCACCCTAACTTACATTAGCCACCACAGTTATTACATTGCTTTTGTGGGCGCACAGTTGGCTCCTTGTGTCAGCAATTCATCTCCTCACCAGGAGCACTTGTATTGATTGTACTGTCAGCATGGGACATTGTGGGATGGTTCCTGAAAGACAGGAAGTCAACGTAAGCAATGCAGTGTCTGCACTGACACTGCATCAACCTAATTACATACGCCACCCCAGGAGGTGTGTTACTAAATCAGCGTAGAGAGACACTTATGTCAGCAGGAGCAAATTTAAGTGATGACACTTCCGCAGCTAGATCAGTGTAAGGCAGCTTATGCCAACCTAACCATGTAGCGTAGACACCTGGTGTAGACACTAGGCCTTAGACACTTTTGAAAATTTTACCTCCCACCCTGTCTCTTGTATCCCTGGCCAGTGCTCTGTACACCAGACCAGCCTTCCAACCACTTCTCTGTAAGGCTCTTACAGCCAAATTCAAGCTGTGCTAGTCAGTTTCCCTTGGGCAAACAGACCATGTTGTGTATTTCTTGCCCTTGACCGGAGGAGCCTGACACTTTGGTTCAGATTCCCACTGTGAATGGGAACATGTGTCTACATGAACATTTAGTTTGCAGCAGGCTGGGATGTGAATCTACTCCACGCCAGCCTGCTGTGCACTAACTGTCCAGGTGGATCCTGCTGACATGCCCTAATAGTTCCTCTTTGATCCACTCCCATTTCATAGTGGGGTAGATCCAAGTGCACTAAGGAACTGTTAGTGTGCTTCAGGAAGGTCCATGTAGACACTCAGGGCTTAGCTTCACTTAAAATGATGCACCGGCACAGCTGTAGCTTCAGTGAAGATGCTACCTGTGCTAATGGGAGGGGTTCTCCCATTGGCATAGGTACTGCACCTCCCTGAGAGGTGGCAGCTAGGTCAACAGGAGAATTCTCCTGCCAACCTAGCACTGTCTACACTGGGGGCTAGGTCAGTTAAATGTGTTGCTCAAGGGTGTGGATTTTTCACGCCCATGAATGACATACTTATACGGACCTAAACTCTTAGTGTGGACCACGCCTCTGTGCATGGCAGGTTGGTGCAGGGTAATTCTACACCCCAGCTTGCCTTGAACTAAATGTTCATGTAAACAAGCCCTTATGAATTCAAAATTTGTTTCCATGACTATTTTCTGATATTCACTGGAGATTCTCTGTTTTTGTGAACGTTCTATTTGCAGAGAATGACAACAAACATGTCACAAAGGCTGCCAAAGCAAATTTGACTAAAACCACAAATGAATATTTGTGGAATTTTGTGTGTGTGAACACATGTTATATGCAAAGTTCTACTAATAACCTAGTGAAGAATACAAGAGGTGTAGAATTTGTGTAACAGTTGTGACGGCCTCAGACCAGAAGGCGATAAGAGAGTGGGGGAAGGCAGGTGTATCAGTCTCAGGATGAGCAGGTCCCTGTTCCCTGGATAGCCAAACAGGGGCTTCTCCAGGCCAATTGGGACACCTGATGCCAATTAACCTGTTAAGGCCATTAGGCTAATGGAGACAGCTGGAACCAATAAAGGTCCCACTCATATTGTTTAAAAGCTCTCCTTCCAGTTCCCTCAGAAAAGCCCCGGTGAAAGGAGCTAGAGGAGAGGAAGCATTGCTGAAGCCTGAAAAAGTGTGAAGGGTGAAGCTAGAAAAGGGGGACCACTCTGAAGTGGCCTAGGGAATCAAAGCAGTTCCAGTGGCGATGGGGAAGCTGCCAACAGCTGCTACCATTAGGGTCCCTGGGCTGGAACCAGGAGTATAGGGTGGGCCCGGGTCCCTTCCCACCGCCCCCCATGCTCTACATAGATCCCCTTGAGAGGGGAAGCAGGCCTTGGTCCAGGCAGGAGGCCAAACTGCACCTACTAGGTCAAGGGATCAACAGAGACTGTGGGGTATTCCCCCTTTCTACCTCCCATACTGGCCTGTGATTAAAGTAGCTCGATAGGCTGTGACCCTTGCCACTACCCTGAGAAAGGGAGGTCACATTGACGGCCTTAGCAAGCTTCTGAGGCCACTGAACCTGCCCGGAAGCGCAGGACCCACCAACCAAGCGCAGGCTCGGAGCTTTGTCACACAGTTCACTTGCAGTGTACTAGAGTGTTGTGGTGAATGGGCAGAGGTAAAACTCTGAATACAAAATAGAGCACCCTTTTCTAATACTAAATTAAATAGGACAAATTTTAAAAATAGTCTTATAAATGGTAAATGATTTAATCTAGGATAGAATTTCTACAGCAAATGGCATGACTTTGTATCTCCTTTCTATTTCCTAGCATGATGATGAAAAGCAATAAATAAATACATAAAAAATAAAGACTCTCCAGACCTCATAGTATTCATCTTAAGCACACAGACAGAAATAGAGATATGCTCCTTTCAAACTCTGCTGACAAAGGTTGCAAAAGCTGCCAACAGAATGGCCTTTGATTCTCCCCCCCCCCCCCCCCAAAGATATAAAAAAAGGAAACAATTGATATGTTTAAATTGCTTTATTTTGGAATCCATAAATATTTGTTACTGACAAAAGTGGAAAAATCCTTAAGACCTCTAAATTTTACTAAACTGATAATATTTTTGTTTACAGTACATATAGAATGTGCTTTTACTGGTAAGTATAACAACAAGAATAATACAGAGAAAAACAGTCAAATACTGCTCATCTTGAAGCTTATTTAATGGTTAACCAAGAGTCTGTGCAAAGTTACAGATACAAATGTACTTTCTCATCAGTACTACTGTATAATAAACACGGAATCCATAAATTGGGCTAAAGCACAAAAATGTCCACCTAACCCCCTCTTAGGAAATATTGTCCCCCAAACTAAAAATATTACAGTAAGAAATGTCTTTCTTAGAGCCAAAAAATTCTTGCTACAAAATTTCTAACCGATTTACGGAATGAAGGTTGTAAGAAGCTATTACAAAGCACATGGGCAGAACTTCAGAATGTCTTGGCTCTCACATTTCACTGCTGTCGTGAATGGCACCAACAGTGAGAATTTTCACACATAATGAAGAGCACACAAGAGACACAAAATGTCATTTCTCTAACTATTGAGATAGTAGATCACTTTCAGATTTACATAAATATATTGGAACAGAATAATCCCATCTCTGTTCTAGCCTATGGGCTTTCAGCAGGTCAAATGTAGATTTTTTTTTTTAGACAGTCAGATTTAGAACTAACAAGGATATGTCAGTTGTAAGCCTAAACCAGCTAAAGACAGCCTGCTAATTACACCTTTATGATCAGCTTGTGAACAAACAACATACAAATGGCTATTTTCTAAGAAACAGCCGGACACAATTATTGCTAACAACACTTTTTTTAATGAAAATATTTAATCCAACTTTTCAAAACTTTCCCATAGTTTTACCTCCCCAGCACATGAAATCTACATGTATTAACCAGCTTTCAGTGTAGTTCCTCCTTCCAACTCTGTAGAATAAATCTGAAACTAAAGCTAAGACGAGCTAGTCCTCTGCTACATAAACTGAAAATGGCTAATCAGTCACAAATTAGAACATATACTTCCTCTACAGTTAAATGTTACCCTGTTTCATGAACCTTTGTTTGTTATGCAGAACTTTTCCCAACTGCTGGGAACTATCTCCCTTTTCCCTGGGATGATTCTGCTTGTATAGAGTTAGCGCCCAAATCCCATCATGTTGCACATTTCGGATGTGGACTGTTTTGATATAATACTATGTATCTGCAGCTGTGAAGCCCAGCTTCATGGGCCTGTCATTGCGTGTGGTCAGGAAAGCAGAGCAGTAAGTAGAAATTAACTCTGGGCAAGGAAAGGATATCTTGTATCTCAGTTACCATTTCCCACCTCACGCTTCTCCACACCCCTGAATCAGAGTGTCGTTTAAAAAAGGAACATTAAAACGTTGGACAATATGGTCATTTTTCATTAAAACACAATTTGGTGCCTTTAAAACATATCTGAAAACATTTTCATCAGCTCTGATGAAGTTTTAATGTGACATGTGGTTCATTAAAAATAGTTTCCATATTTCAAAGACTGTGTCTATAGATCTCAGGAGACAAGATTGTTACAGGGTCAGTCTGAATTCCGGGGTTCCCCAATGCAACTCACTGTTGTATAATACTGCCCGGGGCATGCAAAGTCAATACCAGCTTGTAGGAAATGCTATAAACCGGGGCATACTATGCATACCCTTTTCTCCTCCCCACATGCATTTTGGGAACTTGGCACTCTGCAGATGCTTATGGCCACCCATGGCTAGGACGGGTAAGATTCATCATAAGTCAGATCTATTGTACTGAGGAATCTGGACTGCACTCTGCTTTCGTCCTGAGGAGAGGGTCAGAAGGTGGCTCAGACCTGGGCAGGATGGAGCAGGGAAGTTGAAGCATGTGTGAGAGCTGCCATAGGGACTGCAGCTGGCTAGAGAGAAAATGGACAAGTTACAGGACAGAAGTAAACCAGTGGGTTATTCTGTGAAGCTGTCCCACCCAGCACATTCTCCCTCTGAATAGGGTGACCATATGTGGACTCTTGCCAGTCCAGACACGTCAGCACATCATCTTCCAACCAACAAATAACAATGCTACTACTAATTATAATACTTTGCTCTTCTGCATTGTACTCGGCAGCTCTCAACGCACTTTGTAGACATTACTGAATTAACCCCACCACACTCCCGTATTATTCTTCTTCTCATTTGGCTAAAGGGGAGCTGAACAAAGCACGGGGAGGTCGCACTGCCAGTCACTGGCAAAGCTGGGACTAGTCCACCAGCGTCATTGTGACTCCCAGCCCCAGACCATGCAGCCTCTGAGTGACAAGCCCTCAGAAAGAGGGACAAGGAGGAACTCAATCCAATCAAACAGTGGCTTGTGCTGAACATTGCTGTGCTAGTTACCTGCCTATCATGCCACACAAGGCAAGTCACACAACAGAGCGGTGTCCAGAAGAGATATGCATTATCCAGTGCAAGAAGCATTCTCAAGAGAAACTGCCAAACCTTGCTTTGATGGTGACTGCTTCCCTGAAGAGAGTGTGCATTGAAGCGTCTGTTGATTGCTCCTGTGGGATACATCAGCTTCACCCAGCTGCATGGGTGAAAGAGACAGGGAGAGAGGGGCCAGAATTTCTTTGGAAGATTATTGCCCAAGTAGGACAGGCAGAGGGCCTGCAACCTTTGTGAAACAGAACAGATGAAGCTCTGCAATCAAATGGCCTGGAGCACAACACAGCATCTGTGAAGAGGACTTAGGAGAAGAGGTTTGGTAGCTACACCTACTCCAGTAGCTCCTTAACTCATGAACTGAAAATGGAAGCAAAGAATGGAGCTCGTGGGAAAAGAGCCATCCAGAGAGCTGTGCTTGGCCATAGAAGAAGAGAGATGAGTGTCCTAACCCTGTGTCTGAGTGTCCCACACTGAGCCCTGCTTCTCCCTACAGATTGCTGGAAACCAGGCCTGTATTTCCTCTCACACTCTGTTTACAGTGGAATGGCTCCTGGTTTACACTGGAGTGAGAAGGGAGTCAGGGTGTGATGTCCTGTGTCTTGAAGCAAGTCCTGGGATTTCCCAGACAGCTGCTGTATCATGTCTTCTACCCAATGTCTACCAAAACCTGATGGGCCAAGAAGCTAGTAGGACTATATAGCCTCAGCCAAGGCACCACCATGGGCACCTTGATTGGTGGATCGCCGAGCTCCACTGATTGGTCAAACCATGCTATTTAAGGCAGGAGGAGGAACAGGAAGTTTGTCTGAGCAGCAAGGCGATTTCCTGTTGTGGCTGCATTGGCCCCTACTTGTGCCTGCCTCCTGCACCCGACCCTATTCCTGCTCCACTCCTGCCTCATGGCTGCCTTTGCTCCTGTTCCCACCATGCTTCTGCTCTGTGCTTGATTCTTGCCTCTCCTCCAGTTCCTACCCTTGTGCCTCACCGCCAATGATCAGTTACCATTCTTGGCTCCTTTCCTGGCTCCTTCCCTTGGCTCCCTTCTGACTCTGGCTTGACCCTTGGCTCAGACATTTGGAATCTAACCTTGGCTCTGACCTTCAGCTTCAATCCCTGGCTCTGGTAACTGGCCATTGACTCTCGTGCTGACTCTCGTCCCATTTCCCCAACCTGGATACCTTCTCCACCCACTAGTCCTGATTCTTGCTCTGACCACTAGGCCAGACTGCCTACATCCTGGTCCATAATGCAGAGCTCCACAGACTCTGTGGTCAGCACCTCCCTGTCAAAGATGGCGGCAGCTGCAAACAGCTCCATTCAGTTCGGAATTAGCCCTGGCCCTCAAGACATGGGGAATCGGGGTGAAAGCTCAGGGGCATGGCTGTTTCTGAGAAGTGTCCACATCTGAGGGGCTGAGACTGGGCTGAGGAGGTGGGAGGGGAGCGTCAGTGGAGAGAAAGGAGCGAGGAGCTGCTCAGAGTGGCTGTTCTTCTGTCCCCTGCGGGGGCCATGGCAGAACGCTATACAAGCAGGGAGAGGACACGGCTCAGGGAGGTTTTAGCCCTGAGGGAACATAATACAGGCACCTAGACCAGGGTGACCCTTGGTTGTTCCATCCCAGCACAGTTTCTGTCAAACAAAGCCCTGTACTCCTCGTCACTTGACTCCCTTCCCAACGTACTGAGCCCTGGGACCTAGAGACTGGGTCAAGCACAGCCCAGATTGGGGCAGGCAATGCCAGGGCCCTTGAGCATTGCAGCATGATTAATGTCAAATGGGAACAGGCTCCTCACTAAGGTCTGCCTTTAACAGCCTACCCAAGGAGAACACCTTCCCACTGCCAGCCTGGCACCACGGGACCCAGAGTGCCTCAGAATTAGCCCGGGGCTGGGATTGGAGCCCAGACAGAGCCTGGGAGCATCTCACACCATATGCCGCTCTGCAGGGTGGGAGCCAAAGCAGCGTTAGGAGGGGTGAGATAAGTGGGGGGGGAGGGGAGAGACTCGCTAAGGGGAGTGTGGGGGAGGGGCCAGTTACAGGGTATGTGGTGGAGGGGCAGAGAAAGGGACTAGTTAAAGTGAGTAGGAGAGGGGCCATTTAAGGGGAGTGTGGGGGAGGGGCAAAACCAGCTAGTTATAGGATATAAGTAGGGGGCATTTAAGGGGTATGAGGGTTATGAGGAGGAGCAGCAGTTACTGAGTATGTGGGGCTAGTTAAAATGAATAGGAAAGAGACCAGTTACAGGGTCTGTGGGGGAGGGGCAGAGAGGGGCCATTTAAGGGGAGTGTGGGGGAGGTGCAAAGACAGCTCGTTACAGGGTAAGAGAGGAGGGGCCATTTATGAGGTATGGGGGGAGGGGCAGTTACTGAGTATGTGGGGGAGAGGCAGAGAGATGGGCCAGTTAAATTAGCAATTATTAAGATGTGTATTTAAAATCTGAAGTCATTCATGATCTTATCCAGGCAGGGGGCTCCATTCTGCCAGTTGGGAAAACAACATATGCTTATGTGATGGGAACTGAATATGCGACATAATGAGCAACTGTTGAAGGGTCATTAACATGGCCACGGATGCCATCACTTGGAGTGGGATGCTGACCTGCCTTTCGCAAGCTCTGAGATTCCTCTCAGTGCACAGAGGTATGTCCCAGTTTGAATTAGTTCTACAGAACGTAAGTACAGACTGAAATACAAAACACCTCACAAATTTTGGACCCATGAGTCTATTTTTGAAGGAATTTACAAATACTCTGTATCTAATTAGCATTATACATCAGATATACAACATGCCCATTTAGTATAATTATGTTGGATATATAATTTATGCACATGAAATGTAACTGTCTGCTCAGACGATGACTGGAAAATATCCATCTAGTTTTGGGTTAATAGACAAACTTTTCTGTCTGTATCTGTTCAAACAGATTTAGCAGAGGGTTTGCCATTCCTCTGAAATGGTGAGTCCTCAGTTGTCGCTGAGAGGAATAATTAGGCTCAGAAACAGAGGTGAGGAATTGGACTGGGATGAGATGTTAATAGGATGGTGAAATCGTGGCTCCAGTGAAGTCAATGGGAGTTTTACTATTTCAACAGAGCCAGTGTTTTACCCAAAGTGCTTTTTAGCAATGTAATGATGGGTGAGTTTTGGTGCCTCCGGCACCACGTTGGCAAGAAGCTGAACCAATGAAATCCCACCCATTTTCTATTTACAGACTGCAGAAATTAGGATGAGGGCAGAAAGGGCCTAACGAGCATTTCAGCATAATTGTGCTTATTGACACGTCAATCCCACTACTTCCTACACTGAGAGAGCAGGCAAGTTGTAGGCACTATTATATTTCTGTTTTATGAGTATATTTAATATAAACAAGACTTCATTTATCAGCTAGGCTAACTGTGTCACTAGATCTGACAGTCCTCTAGTAAGCTTTGACTTTTAAATCAGGAAGAACAACAGCTACTTGGGGGACATCCTAGCATCTAATGCTTGACTGTGACTATTAGCAGTCAAGGGCAATATAAGTAGTCACTGAAAAATTCAGTACTGGCCAAAAAGGCTGGTGTGAGAGATGGTGACAGGGCCCCACCCTGCCAGGCTAGGATGCTGCAAACATACCGTGGGCTCTGTGAGACTTGGCGCAATTTGAAGTTTAAAAATCCTAAATTCATAAAAACAAGTGAGTTACAGCAGATAAGCCCTTGGAAGGTGCCGCCTGCTGCTATGGCTTTCTTTGACAGAAACTGGCGCATGTTGGGGATTCTCTCCAATTGCCCATTTTTTCTTCTTATGTCAACAATATGAAAATGGTTTTAAAAACAATGCAGATGTGACTGTCAGAAAAGTCTTTTCGGACACTCAGTTAGAGGTTATCTTGGCCTGTAAGGCCACTGCAGTTTGGGGTCCTGGGGTCACACCAGTCCTTACTGATTATCCACAATGCACAGTGTCATATTAAACAGTCACCTCTGTTTTGCTTGCTGTGCGGTAATGGTGGTGGTGTCCTGGGATATAATGCAGTTGTTCCACTGTGTTGTGCCGTCGGGAGGCGAATGCTTGGCGCTTGGCGGAAGTTTGGTTCATACATAAGGTATTGTACAAGTTATTTGAGGCACTGGGATGGGAGTGCATCTTTGTCATCCTGTAGCGATCCAAGACAGGCGTAGAAACAAAGACATCTGTGTGTGACAATGCGCGCGACATGGACTGGTCTGCGAAACCCGTGCGCTCCGGAGAGAGCAGGGGGTCTTGGGAATGGAGGCGCTCTGCAGACAAAAGCTGTTCATCAGAGAGGATCCGTTCATAGGACATGCTGAACTCCTCGGGCAGGACCCTCTCAGGGGACAGCACCCTGTCCTGGGACATAGCCCGTATGGGTCGGCGGGGCCGTTCTCTGTGGTTGGTCTGTTTCTGAGACATTTGGATGACATTGAGAGGGAGGGTCCCTCGTGCTGCCAGATCAGGAAGGTGTCTCCTCTTCATGTAATATTCATCAGCTTCTTTGTCAGCTGGGAGGGGAAAAGAAGGGGAAACAGTGTTAGGAACAGCCGAGGGTGTGGTCACAGGAGGGAGAGCAGGGATGGTGTACAGAGAACAGCGCTCTGGAACAACGCCCCCTGGTGCACTAGATAATGTCTGAGGCAGCACAAACATGGAGACCCATCAGGACTTTTGTCTTATCCTTCAGACATTTAGGCATTGCCATAGACATCGATAGCACTGTGTTATCAATCATGGAACTCAAGGGTCTATTTGCACTGTGTGAATATGTATGTATTACACATGGATACAGCGTACATCATGTGTATACACACACAGCCATACAGGGACAGTGGGGACATCAGTTCATACATGAGTTACTGTGTGCTATATCACAATTTTAACATGTCACACAATGAACCCCATGTGCTGAATCCATGTCAAAATATCGTGTGATTTGTAGTATTACCAGGTCACTGAGAATTCGAGCTGGTTGGAAAACAAAATTTCCAGTCTGTGGGAAATTCTGACATTTAGACATTTTCTTTTGTCCCGAATTAGAACAAAAAGCTGAAATTTCCTAATTGAGCTTGAAATAAAAATAATAAAAATTTTGTTTCAGAAACATTGAAACCCCTTGTCATAAACATACAGCTAAGGGTAGCATAAAATCCCTCTTTACCCTGTAAAGGGTTAATTCCTCTTTTACCAGTAAAGAGTTAAGAAGCTCAGATAACCTAATGGGCACCTGACCAAAAGGACCAATAAGGGGAGAAGATACTTTCAAATCTGTGGGGGAAGGTTTTTTGTCTGTGTCTCTCGGAGCCAGCCAGGAAACAGGGCAGGGAAAAATACATCTCCCTAAGCTATATCTGAACTAAGCATCTAGTATTGCAGAAATAGTAAGTAATAGGAAAGAAATGCGTTAGATTATCTTTTGTTTTAGCTTGTGAATTTTCCCTGTGCTAAGAGGGAGATTTATCCCTGTTTTTGTAACTTTAAGTTTTGCTTAGAGGGGAAATCCTCTGTGGTTTTGAGTCTTTTGTTATTCTGTAAAGTACTTACCATCCTGATTTTACAGAGGTGATTCTTTTACCTTGTCTTTAATTAAAGTTCTGTTTCTTTTAAGAACCTGACTGAATTCTCTATTATCCTAACACTCAGGGGTTTGGGTCGGTGATCACTTTGTAACCAATTGATTAGGATATTATTCTCAAGCCTCCCCAGAAAAGGGGATATAAGGGCTTGGGGGGATATTTTGGGGGAACAGGAACTCCAAGTGGTCCTGTCCCTGATCCTTTGTTAAATCACTTGGCGGTGGCAGCCTCCAAGGGCAAAGAGTTTGTGCCTTGGGGAAGTTTTAACCTAAGCTGGTAGAAATAAGCTTAGGGGGTCTTTCATGTGGGTCCCCACATCTGTACCCTAGAGTTCAGAGTGGGGAGGGAACCCTGACATGATGGCAGCACGGTGGGATCATTTTGAACCAGAGATTATTTTGAACCAGAAATCATTTTGAATCAGAAGCACAAACCTTAGGAATTTTTTTTCTTCTTTTAGCTGCTTGGGGAAAGCAGGAAGTCTTTTTTCTTTTCTCTCTCTTTGCCTGGAGGCAGAAGTGTTAAGTTTTTTTTAACAAAGGTGTTAGCTACAGCCAGGAAACTCACAAGCAGGTTTTTTTTCTTTCTTTCTAGCTCTCGGGTTAGGTTAGATTAAACACAAAAAGGCTAGGATGACAGACAGTGACGTCCAAAAGAAATTGGAATTAGCCAGCTTCGAAGCTGGTGAGAAAGAAAAGGAACATAAGACTGATTGAATTAAAACAACTTGAAAAAGAAGCTGCTGAAAGAGAAAAGAAAAACAAAGAGGCTGCCCACAAGAGAGCTATGGAGGCAGAAAAAGCCAGGATGGAAGCAGAAAAAGCCAGGATGGAGGCTTCCCACGAGAGAGCTATGGAGGCCCAGAGGGAGGCCCAGAAGCATGAACTGGAGTTAGAGAGGGCAAGGGCTAAGCAGAATGTACCAGACAACCCTAGCAATCCTTCTCCTGATACCACTTCCCATCCTAGAAAGTTCCCCACCTACAAGGCAGGAGAAGATACCAAGGCCTTCTTAGAAAATTTCGAAAGGGCCTGCCTTGAGTACAGCATCTCTACAGACCAGTACCTGGTAGAGCTGAGGTCGCAGCTCAGTGGATCCTTAGCAGAGGTGGCAGCTGAAATGCCAAAGGAAAACATGAACAGTTATGAACCTTTTTAAAAAAAGGCCAGGATCAGGATGGGGCTAACACCCGAGCATGCCCATCGGCGGTTCAGAGCCCTAAGGTGGAAACCAGACGTGTCATTTACTCGACACGCCTAACACATTGTGAAAAATTGGGATGCCTGGATATCGGGAGCAAGTGTTAAATCTCCGGAGGAGTGCCCTTCCTAATGCAAATGGAGCAGTTCCTAGAGGGTGTTCCAGAGGAAATAGAAAGGTACATCCTAGATGGGAAACCCAAAACTGTAACTGAGGCGGGGGGAGATTGGAGCCAAATGGGTAGAGGTGGCAGAAAAGAAAAAAACTGATTGCAGTTGGAGCGAATATCAGAAGGGGCAACTCGAAACAAAACCCTGTCACCGGGGGCAACCCAAGGCCCCACCTACATTCCAAGGAAAACCCCAAACACCTTATCGTCCCACCACACCCGTATCCAGCAACCAACCTCGCCCCAGTGACCAGTCAGCGGGGCGATGTTTTAAATGTAATGAGCTGGGACATGTGAAGGCCAACTGCCCCAAGAACCCCAACAGACTGCAGTTCATTACACCAGAGTCACACCAAAGGTCCTCAGGCCCGCATGCCTTTCAGGTGCCCTCAGAGTGAAGGGAAACTGTGAGTGTAGGTGGGAAGAAAGTTACAGCGTGGAGGGACACTGGAGCGCAGGTGTCAGCTATCTATCAATCCTTAGTGGACCCCAAATTCATCAGCCAGGAGGCCCAAGTGATGATTCAACCCTTCATGTCAAAATCTTGTAACTTGCCTACAGCCGAGTTGCCTGTCCAGTACAAGGGCTGGTCAGGAATGTGGACTTTTGTAGTCTTTGATGATTATCCCATTCCCATGCTGCTGGGGGAAGACTTGGCCAACCATGTGAAGCTAGCCAAGAGGGTGCGAATGGTCACCCACAGCCAGGCTAAGCAAGCTGTCACACCTAGCTCTATTCCTGAGACTTCCACCAGGTCCCATCTGTGTTACCAGAACCCCAGAGGGAGGTGGTGGAACCAGATCCCCTGCCAACCACTGCAACAGCTGTAGTGGATCCAGTCCCAGAGACCCAGCCAAAGCCAGTCCCAGAACCGGAACTGGTGAAGCAACCAGCACCAGAACCATTGCCAGCACTGAGTCCAGTGCTTGCAAACCCGTCTATAGCTCCAATACCAGAGGGGACCACCGAGCCTGCACTGGCAGCAGCAGCCCATAACCCTACACAAGAGGCTCAGCCAGAGCCTGAAATACCACACAGTGCACCAGCGGAGAGCGGTTCACCATCAACGGAAACAGCCCCATCACCTGCATCACTTCCAGAGGGACCAAGCCCAGGTCCATAATACAATGAGGAACTGATGTCTCCAGCATCAAGGGAACAGTTCCAGGCCAAACAGGAAGCAGATGAAAGCCTCCAGAGAGCTTGGACGGTGGCACAGAGCAACCCACCGCCTTTCAGCTCTTCTAATCGATCCAGGTTTGTTGTAGAAAGAGGACTTTTATACAAGGAAACTCTTTCTGGTGGACACCAGGAAGACTGGCACTCTCAGAGACAGTTGGTAGTTCCAACTAAGTACCAGGTCAAGCTCTTGAGCTTAGCCCATGATCATCCTAGTGGCCATGCTGGGGTGAACAGGACCAAAGACCATTTGGGGAAGTCCTTCCACTGGGAGGGAATGGGCAAGGATGTTTCTACCTATGTCCGGTCTTGGAGGTGTGCCAAAGAGTGGGAAAACCCCAAGACCAGGTCAAAGCCCCTCTCCAGCCACTCCCCATCATTGAGATTCCCTTTCAGCGAGTAGCTGTGGATATTCTGGGTCCTTTCCCAAAAAAGACACCCAGAGAAAAGCAGTACATACTGACTTTCGTGGATTTTACCACCCGATGGCCGGAAGCAGTAGCTCTAAGAAACACTAGGGCTAAGAGTGTGTGCCAGGCATTAACAGACATTTTTGCCAGCGTAGGTTGGCCCTCCGACATCCTTACAGATTCGGGAACTAATTTCCTGGCCGGGACCATGAAAAGCCTGTGGGAAGCTCATGGGGCGAACCACTTGGTTGCCACCCCTTACCAACATCAAACAAATGGCCTGGTGGAGAAGTTTAATGGAACTTTGGGGGCCATGGTATGTAAATTCGTAAATGAGCATTCCAACGATTGAGACCTAGTATTACAGCAGTTGCTTTTTGTACCACATCTCAGTTTAGGATTTTCACCATTTGAACTTGTGTATGGCCGCGAGGTTAAGGGGCCATTACAGTCGGTGAAGCAGCAATGGGAGGGGTTTACGCCTTATCCAGGAACTAACATTCTGGACTTTGTAACCCACCTACAAAACACCCTCCGAACCTCTTTAGCTCTTGCTAGAGAAAACCTACAAGATGCTCAGGAAGAGCAAAAAGCCTGGTATGATGAACATGCCAGAGAGCGTTCCTTCAAAGTAGGGGACCAGGTTATGGTCTTGAAGGCGCTCCAGACCCATAAGATGGAAGCATCATGGGAAGGGCTATTCATGGTCCAAGAGCACCTGGGAGCTGTTAACTTTCTCATAGCATCCCCCACCTCAACCCTAAAGCCTAAGGTGTACCATGTTAATCCTCTAAAGCCCTTTTATTCCAGAGAATTAAAGGTTTGTCAGTTTACAACTCAGGGAGGAGATGACGCTGAGTGGCCTGAAGGTGTCTATTATGAAGTGAAAAGTGATGGTGGTGTAGAAGAGGTGAACCTCTCCAAGACCCTTGGACGTATGCAGCGACATCAGATCCAGGAGCTGAGCGCCAGCT